ACCGTCGTTTCCGTCCACGCGAGCTCCGTTAAAGCTCGGCCACCCCTTCAGGTCCTCGACGAGGCGGCCAAGGCCAAGATTGCAAAGTATCGGGCCCACGGAAAGGACTTTTCCCCCCTAGTTCTCTCCGTCGGCGGCCTCTGCGAGCTCAAAACAGCCAAGTTCTACCGGGACCTACAGAAGAACTACGCAGGGTCGAAATTCTTAGACGGACAACTCTCGATTCTCTTAACACGATATAGAACCCGCCCCTACCTTCTTTTAAACTAATTTCCTAATCTTTTCTTTACTTTTCTTTATTTTCTTCTTTACTTTACCAAAAGTTCAACTTGTGTAATAAATCAATCTGCCTCGTGTATATAAAAGCAATCTAGACCAACCCGTTCACCCCACCCGCCGGTTTGCGGGTGGGTTTGGGTTTGGGTTTGCCAAGAACCCGCACCCAACCCGTTTTTTGCGGGTTGAACCCGCACCCATCCGAGGCCTAAGGTACGGAAAGCACAGGTAAAACTGAATAAAGCACTTCAGAGGGCAGAGAATGATAGGTTACGAGCGGAACAAGTTGCTCAACGGGCACAGGACCGTCAGATTAGGGCGGCAGAAAGAGAGGTAGAGCTTGCTCGACGTAGGGCCATTCGACAGGCTGATCGTGAGGCAAGATCGGCACAGGCACAGCTTCTCCAAGAGTTAAAAACACCTCGAAACACCAGAAAACGAGCAAAAGAAGCCTCTCCATAGCAAATTGTACAGCCGCAGGTAATCAGCAGCGATGTGGAGGAGCTAGATAGCGATGGGGAGGAATCTGAAGGAATGGAGACTCAGACGCGGCGAGGTCGCATTTCCCGGCCACCACGATATCTTAAGGACTTCGATTTGGGCCCTAAATAAGCTTATAGTATCTCAGAATGTCATAACAACAATTTTTTCTAAATCTCTATTGTATATGGGCGCGAATGGCTGCAAAACTGAGTGCCCATCGCGAGCGCTTATGACGCGGTGGACCGTGTAAGGAGTGGTGCCGTGCACGTTGTGGGGAAAACCCATAGATGAAACCTTGGTCTGCGACAACTAGCGCTGTGGATCCAGACTCTAATTCTCCGCCGGGCCTTGGCAGACTAATGCTTTTGGTTGAGACCAGAGCTCCCTGCGTGGAGGAGCTCGTCACTACCCACCAGCCTGGCAACGTCGCGATTCCCTTATGTAGAGAAACGAGTCACTTACCATAGGTTACTTGAAGCACATTTATTCTATCAAAGGCTGGAAGCTCCCTTCTGCTCTTCAAGTCAATTTTCCGGCGAAATTGTCCTATAGCAGTCTGTCAGGGATGGCAGAGAACGCCTCGCTTGTGGTCGATCAAGCGATCAACCTACTCGCCCTTGGTATGGAAAATTGGACGCGTTGATGCGATCGACCTCACTGAAATTGCTTAGATGGAGGGGTCATTCGTGGTTTATCTGAGCTGTTGATTTTGAATAAGATAATGCGTCGTGTCCAGCATGATCAGAAACTTCCTAAGCTTCCTCGGCCTTGCGAGTATTTCTATCTGATCGGAGGAACAAGTACTGGAGGGTGCGTTTGTTTCTCACCTCTATCTGGTAGGGCAGAATTTATGCTGAATTGGAATCATACTAGTCTTATCGCGCTTATGCTCGGCCGATTGCGAATAACGACGAAAGAGGCTCTCGAGACCTACAACGTTCTCGCGAGTGACATATTTTCAAAAGAGAATAAGAAGTGGGGCGTTCAAGATGGGACATTCAAAGCTAGTACGCTTGAGAGGAAGGTGCAGGAGATTGTTACAAAGAAAGGCCTGGGCGAGTTTATGCTCGATTCATCTACAGATATTCCGAAGAACGCAAAAGCTTTTGTCTGTGCGATGCCCGCGCGTAATATGGCACATCCGCGACGGTTCAGAACGTATACCATCAGATCGAACCCGAGTACGAACTGCCGAATTTGGGAAGCGGCTCGCGCCACCACGGCAGCTCCTACGTTCTTTAAACGCATCGAGATCGGCGAGGAAGGTCAGGCCAAAGAAGAGTTCTTTGATGGAGGGCTACGATGCAACAATCCGGTAGACGAAGTTTTGAATGAAGCAAGGGACATTTTCGGAAACAATCGCCGGGTGAACTGTGTTGTGAGCATCGGTACTGGTCATACCGGAATAATCCGTTTGGCAAGGCCAGACGCGTTTCAAAAAGTCCTACCGACAAAACTGATTGAAGTACTGAAGAAAATTGCCACCGACTGCGAGGAAAAGGCAAATGCTTTAAGTGCAAGATTCAAAGATCTCGAAAAATTCTATTACCGCTTTAATATAGTTCATGGTGCAGAGAGCATCTCACTAGAAGAATGGGAGAAAATGGGCGAGTTGACAGAGCATACAAATGCGTATATGTCGGATGTCTCTGTTTCAAAGGCTCTTGACGAGGTAGTAGAGATATTGTGCAAGTCTGAGAGCCCCGGACTAACACTGGGAAGTATTTGTTAGTTTACTGGATCAGATAACTAACTATAGCTTAGTTGCATTAGCTAATCCTTTCAAAGGCGGTGTCCCACAAGTTGTTCGTTTACCCCAGCCGGTACAAGTACGACCAAAACCAGCGCCCAGCCGGATATTCACTGGACGCGAGGATGTACTAAAGACCCTAGAAGTCTTCTTCTCAGAGAGACCAAATGGCTCAAGTCCAAGAAGGGAATTCTTACTATATGGAATGGGAGGGGTCGGGAAAACGCAAATTGCTTTGCAGTTCTCGCAGACATACCAATCTAGGTAAGTCAATCTATGGCAGCGTTATACCCCTCTAATGGTAAACAGATTCAGGCGCATCTTCTGGATTGATGCGACCAGCAGATCTACGGCCGAACAAAGCCATAGAGGTATCGCAGCCGAGAACAGTTTAGGGGATCCGCAGAATCGTGACCACATTGGTCAAGTACTGCGGTGGTTGTCGGCTCTAAGCCAAGAATGGCTTCTTCTCTTCGATAACTTCCCGAGCAACGAAGATCTAGCCGATCTGATGCCTAGTGACGAGTGCGGCAACATTCTATATACAAGCAGAGATCCCTCTCTTGGTCACTCTCTTCCTTCTGAAGCTATTTCGGCGATCATCGAGATGGAAAGAGAGGACGCTATAACATTGCTCCTACGAGCTTCAAGAGTTGGCCAAAGGGAAATAGACGGGAATCTACGCCAAAAGGCCTACCCGATTTTAAATGCGCTAGGTTTCCTCCCTCTAGCGATAGACATCGCTGGTGCATCGATACACATGGGTCGATGCCGATTTGAGAATTACGTTAACATGTTCAACAGCCACCGAGAGCAAATGATGAGTGATCGCACTTTCAAAGGCTCATCACGATACAATCAAGCCGTGTATACAGCCTAGGACATCTCGTATAATACTTTAGAGAGTATTGCGAAAGATGGTGGTTAGCAATCTGAAAATGCAAGAGCTAGGCTAGCGCTCCTAGATCTCTTTGCGTTCTTCCATAATGAAGGCATAATAGAAGATATCTTCAAGCGCGCTACTGAGAGTGGACATCAAATTAGCGATCCGAGGTTACAACACACGACTAACCACCGTATAGAACTCTTCAAATTTTTGAAGCTAGATAAGAACGGAATTTGGGACCCATTCCAGCTTAATATGGGAATTTCTACGCTTCTATCGTATTCGTTGGTCAAGCAAGACGAAACGAAGCGTTATTTTTCCATGCATGTCTTGGTCCACTCATGGGCTCGCAATCATATATCACATTCTCGTCGACCTTGCCAGTTAGATGCTGTAAAGGCTCTACTATTATCGTCAATTAGCTGGAGGTTCCTCACAGAAGACTATGCTTTCCGTCGGCAATTGCTTCCACACGTCAGAGTGGTTCAAAGCCATAGCCCCACCAAAGAGCAGATTTCCTTAGAGAATATAGATGACTCTAGCAATTTTGCACTGGCTTTCTACGAGAGCGGTCATTAGAAGGAGGCCGAAGAGCTGGAGGTGCAAGTGAAGGAGACGAGAAAGAGGGTGCTTGGCGCAGAGCATCTAGACACGCTGACCAGCATGGCTAACCTGGCGTCGACGTACAGGAATCAAGGCCGATGGAAGGAGGCCGAAGAGCTGGAGGTG